GTTCACCGATTTTGCCTCAGCAATCTTCACTGCGATTTAGACAAGGTGAAGATGTTCCACCCTTTCGATTATATAATTGCGTTGGGCCTGCGTCCAAGCCACAAGGTTTTTGTTGTAGGCACGTGCTTCTTATTCCATTGTTTGATTCAGCTGAACAGTCAGAACCACTAAAAATGACAAGTGAACAGTGAACAGCATCTTTTTTTCCCTTCAGTGTCCATGTAATTCCCCACATCTTTGTGTGGGGTTCTTGTTTTTGGTTGCGCACTCCCGTCCGTACCGCCTCCTCCCGCCGCCCCACTCACACACAACTTACCACTCACAACTCACTAGCGCTAGACAAGAAGTGGATCATTGAAGTGATCCGTTGGGAACTGAATCCCCTCACATGCAATTAGATTAGGTAGATAGAGAGAGAGAGATATGGGGCCCCATCCATATATATATATATATAGAGGCTGTGGTGGCCACATAGGCTATGGTGGCCACCAGCTGCGACTTAAATGCGCCCAGGTGCACCACCAAAGCCTAGCAGGTACGTTTGGAGGTGTGTTCGTTGATCACCGACCCCGCCGGGACCCCGGTGATCCACTGCTTTAAAGATACAATATTATATAATATAATAGAATATAATATTTTATGATGTAATATCAAATAACAGAATATAATATGATGAGCCGCCCGCGAAGTTTTACGTCTGAACACTTACTCACACATCACTCACACACACGCACACACACAACTTACCACACACTTGCTCAGAACTGTCGTTGCGAATTCAGCTGTGGAGCGCATCTTACGTGCAAAAACACCAACGATTAGATGACATGATGAATATACATATAATCACAGTAGACGTTGACCATATGAAACAACAGCGATAAAATATATGCCCCCCTGCAGCTGCGACTTATATGTGCCCAGGGGCGGGACTATATATATATATTATATAAAGCAGGTACGTTTTCACAGGTACCCAGGGGGCGTCTTAGTTGGCCACCGACCCCCTGGGACCCCGTGGCCCCCTGCAGTAATTAGAAGTTTTACATCTATTCAGATGGTGCACACACACACACACACCCTGCCGCAGCAGGGTGAGTGAAATGGACATGAAGATGAAATGACAATGAACATGAGATGACACCTTACCTAACCGGGACACGAGAAGGGGAACGCAAAAGAAGAAAGGAAAAATGGAGAAAACACCAACACCACACACCTAGCCCAAAACGGGCGAACCCTGGAGGGGGCGGACGGAAGCGCCTGACACAACCTACAAGGCGAGTGCCAAACCTACCTCGGCACGCAAAGGACCCCAACCTGACCTAACACGGGAGCACACATGAGATAGGGGACCAATGGGGGACTAGTTAATAAAAATGATGCATCCGCAAACAAATGCAAGAGATCGTGATAAGGCTCGAGGCCCTCGGTGGTCAGGTCAACCCTATATGGACGGCTTAAGCATTCAACCCTCGAATTGGTGTACAGCTGTACCGTACCAGAGCAACCAAAAGGAAAGAGACCGCACCTGTAAAGCATGTCCTTTGCCTGGCCATGTCATGAAATGCAAAAATGGAGAAGCCAGACTCAGAGGCCAGTTGTTTCAACATAACGACCGACAGGGTGAAAAACGAAAAATGGCCAACTGTTTCACTTTACTTGCATGAATTGCCACCTTGACGAAACCAGCATGAAAAAATGGAGAAGCCAGTCACAGCGACCAGTTGTTTCAACACGACGACCGACAGGGTGAAAATCGAAAAATGGCTAACTGTTTCACTTTACTTAAACGAATTATTAGGTTGAAAATGGTGAATTCAGAGATCAGGTCGAAGGATCAAAATTACTACGAAAGGTATTCCCCGAAGGGTTCATGCCACCGTGACGAATCCAGCATGAGTCACACACTTGCTCAGAACTGCCGTTGCGAATTCGGTTGTGGAGTGCATCTTACGTGCAAAAACACAAACGATTAGATGACGTGATGAATATACATATAATCACAGTAGACGTTGACCATGTAAAACAACAGCGATAAAATATATGCCCCCCCTGCAGCTGCGACTTATATGCGCCCAGGGGCGGGACTATATATAAAGCAGGTACGTTTTCACAGGTCCCCAAGGGGTGTCTTCGTTGGCCACCGACCCCCTGGGACCCCGGTGGCCCCCTGCAGTAATTAGAAGTTTTACTTCTATTCAGATTGTACGCTCACACACACAAACAAGTTACTCACATACAACTCTCCCCTCACACAACTCTTTCTCACACACACAACTTCCTCCCACATCACGCACACACAACTTATTCACACACGACATCAACGTGCATTCTGCGTGGCAGGCGTGGCACTTGGCGACATCGATGTGCATGCGTGGCCGGCGTGGCGCTTGGTCACATCGACCTTCACTTTGCATGGCAAGCGTGGCACTTGGCGACATCGACCTGCATTCTGCGTGGCATGCGTGGCACTTGGTGACATCAACCTTCACTTTGC